ACACTGTACCATTAAAAATGGAACATAGTTATTGCTCAGAGGGCTGTTTTAATTGTTTCCTGGATGTCAGTTACCTTTTGAAGATACTTGATTTACAGCACAGCTGTACTTGATTTTTCTTCAATCTAACAACATGAAACTACATTCAAACATCCCCCCAAAATGCACAAATATTTCTTTGAAAAAATCCAAGCCAAATCACTGGATGCAAGTTTTCCCTTTTCCAAAGGGAATCTGCTCTCGTCAGCTAGACTAATACAAATCCACACTACTTACATTCAAAAGTGAAACAAGAGCTATTACAGACTTCTACCTGCAATGCTATAAACAGAATTTTGTACTTTTCAATTTTCATTTACATCTCAAAGACTCTTCTTTGATTAAAAAAGAATGAAGTGTCCACAACTTCAAAGAGTTATTCACTTAAAAACGTAAATGCAAATCTGATGTTTAGTAATCATACAGGAGATCAAAAAAGTGAAGTTATACTAAAAAAAAAAAAAAAAAAAAAAGGAACAAGTATGAATTATCAGTTTGTACTGAAAGCCAAGAGGAATAATCCAATATGAAAAGCATCAAAAGCAGTACATGGAAAGCATATTTGTAAGTTTCACAAATTAGGCATCTCAAAACTGCTGTACAAAAACACTTAGAACACTTAGTGTAGGACAGGAGTGAAGAAACAGAGCAAAGAACAAACTCAAAGTATTTGCTTAAAATATTTAATGTACTTTTTTCAAGATCCACATTAAATAATAAAGTATCAAGTAGATGTCGAAAAATATTAATAAATAATGAGAACCAACAGCTGTTTCACTGTAAATCATGATCTAAATTTTCAGAACATGCTTCTAGTACTGACAACCATTCTGGCTGTCATCCACTTATGACAACTCAGAGTACTGTGCAGAAGCACATGGGAATAATTAAGCAAACAAATCAGCACCACCCAGTGAAGTTTCAAGGACAACAAAACCAAAAATAAATTGGCTTAAGTGAGGAGGATGATGAGCTGTTTTTTAAATCAGCATTACTTGCACTTCTTTGACTAAGGAGATGGTCTATTTTGAAACATCTAGTTGGAAAAGAATCTGGCATTAGCTGTGAAGGACACGTTCTTTTTAACCCATGCTGCTATTGGACAGTACACTCAAGTAACAGCAAAGAAAAGCTCTTTGGGAATGCACTATAATTTCAAAGTACATTTAGTGCTACTACCAGAAAACTGTCTAAATAGGGTTGACTGATAATTAGAACTTGACTTGAACCTAAGAATCCCTTCTGACTTACAAACAAAAAGACTTACTGCATAGACAAGCACCTTTTACTTCTTTTTTGAAACAAAGTATAAAATCTCAAAACTATCTGTATCTACAGGTACCGGAACAAAACTGATGAAAGAACAGTTTTAACTGCTAAAAGTAACAAACCAAAAGGAATGCATATTCTTCAAGCCATGTACACTCGCACAAGATATTTTTTAATAACAAAGCTGCACTATGCAGGGAGTGTACACCATACCTACAAAAAGCATAAGCTTGTTCCTGTTATAACTTTTAATATTAATGTAAATCAATTCAGTTGAGCAACCTGAGATATAAAAAGACTGATACTGAAAAAAATAATGTTTTCCTCACCCCCCACTGCAGGCATTTATGAAACAAACCTAAAATAATTCAACACAACAGAATTCAGCAACCATTTCTCCAAAATCAGACCGTAATCAGCTCTTCAAAGTTTAGACTAAAACCATTCTTGTCTAAAATAATGCAATTTTACAAATTTACAAACACAGATTACTCTAACCAAAATTACTCTAATTCAAAAGAAACAGAAAATTTCATATTAATGTTTAAATGAAGCTTGTTCAAACAAGACTCCAATGACCTTAATTTTGAAGAAAAAAGTAACTTTAAAATGGTCCAAAGCATATTTTCTTACAAAATATATTTTTTAACTTCAGTTCCTTAGAGGATGCTTGTGTTAACATTAATAAATGCACTCTGTTGAGAGTTGAGCAACATTATTTAGTAAATAATATTTAAAGCCAACTTTAAATTATAAGACTACTACCAGATTTTTTTTTTCCCTCCAGATGTTTTACAACTGCATAACTATTAGAGTGTATCACTGGTTATTTGTACTGTTTATGTAACTCCTGCCATTCATACTGACACAAAATAAGGCATTCCAAAACTACATACAAGAATCACAGCATCTTCATTACCTGAGAAATGAGAATGAAGTATTTTTGCCTTTCAATACAGCAACAGTCAGTTATACTATATTAAAAGGTAACATTAACAAAGCACTTTTTTATAACTGTCTTTCTGGCCCTCCTGCACCCCACCCCCCCACACCCCCCACCCGTCTTTATCCTTTATGGCTAATTAGTGTTATAGAGATGCGTTATATGTTTGCTATGTATATAATACACATCACTAGGAGAAGAAAATGAAGTCCCTGACATCAATCAGTGCATTGACATTCCACTTAAACTGTGGAGCTGAGGAGTTCTGATTACTGTCCGCTTTTCCTTGTTTGCAGTGGCTGAATAACTGCTAATTACCTGTTTGCCTGTTATGCCTTCTCTAACTTGATGTGACAACCTCTGGCGGTATCCTACGCAAAATATTTGAAAGAGACAGAAACAAGAAAACAAAGAGTCTTCTTTGTTAGAAATAACAAACCAGACCAAATGAATCAACCTTCTTACTCCAGGGCTGTAAAAATTAGTTTACTTAAATCTTACTGTAGGTCTAAAACTTTCTCCTCTGATGTTGGCTTTGTAACTTATTAGGCAATGAAGTGATTTGCATTCGCTACATTGCACCTTGCTTAGAAGGATCTAATTGGCAAGCCTTAAGAGGACACTAAACAACTGATATGTTACCATTTCAAGTGTTAGGTTTCAGAATGAATACTTTATCATTAAGTGCAAGAATTCAGCTATTCTTCAAAGATGAAGTGTTACATTAATTTCAAGAGTTTATGGCTGTCTCATAACGAGCACCTTACGATTCCACAGTATGATTTTGAACAACTGTAAGTTACACTGGTCTTTGGCTTTCCCTCAGATTAAAACATGTTAGGACTACAGGATATATGTTTTCTTTATTGATAACACAGAATGTTTTTCCTTTTATCCACTTCTGGAAGTGAAAAAGGAGCACTGTACCATCCTTGCATAAACTTTTGAAAATACTGCTGTGAAGCACTGATGGCTATGTCAATGGCTAAAATATGAGTAGCTTTCATAACACTCACTCACAAACCTGCATTTTACTACTCTCAGACTGTAAATAAGTTCTACATTCAAAAATAGAAACAAAAAAAAATAAGTACTCCTATTCATTGGTTTTCACAATAAACTTTTCCACAATTGTGTTGTGGTAAGCATGCAAATCATCATAGTTATCTCTAAGAAACAAATGCTTTAGAGAACTCAATAGCTATCCAAATAATTAAAAGATGCAATGCCAATTTAATTTTCTAAATTACTCTTAGCAAATTCAATAACTGTTTGGGGGTTTTTTTTGCCATGCAGTTACACAGAAGCTTTTTCACAGAAGCAGTTAAGTTCATTTTCTTACATCATACTTTTCTCTAAAAGCAGAAAAGGGACCCTGTGGCCCACTCCACTATACTGAACACTTCAGAGTGCTTGTGAGCCAACTGCTACATCACAGAACAGTACTGCAAAAAGCCATGTGATAAAATACCGAAGTATAGCTGTCAAAATATTTCTCTCAAAACAAACTGCACAGGAATGTTCACACAGCACTTCAGCATAGAGAACAGACATGACTGCTCTCGCAGAACACTTACTGTATGCACAGTTGTTTGGTTATGCTAATAACCCTCACTGAAAGCACGATCAAGTACTGAAGAATTGTTTTCCTGTGCATATCAAACTGATTTAGTTAAGACTAGCGACTTTATACAGAACTATACCACAATCTTTCATCTTCAAATTGAGTTTTGGAGAGGCTGTTACTTTTTTTTTAAAGGACATCGGACTATTTCATTCTTATGCATATAAAAAAAGATTACCTTCTTTCTAACCAGAACTCTCAGCATTGAGACCTAGTTAATCATTCCACCGATTTAGTGAAATCAGTCATGAAACATTTCTTACACGATGAGGAAAAAACCAGAAAGTGAGGATTCCCAGCAAAACAGAACACGTATGGAACTCATATTTGCCATGTATTTTTCTAGTTTGTAATTTAGAGCAGTGTGAACAAAAAGATGGACAAAATCTGGCATTAAGAAAGTTATTTTAATAATTTTGCCTGATGACTTTTCATTTTATTTCTCATAAGGGTCCATTTGTTTGAAGTGCCTGCATTAAAAAACAAGTTGCAACACATATAGCAGAAAAAAAAAAGAGTACATTCAATGCAGCAGAGCAAACAAAGTTATACAAACATTGCTTTAAAGTGTGCAATAAAGGAGCAAAAGAAGCAATAAGACACTAAAGTATACTCAGAAATTATAGTCGAGTTTTCCCCTCCAGCATATTAACTCAAAAACAAACAAACCAACTCAAACCCCAAACCAAAAAGAACCCCTCACAAACCCCAAAATCTGTATTACTCCAGATTTAGAAATGTTAAAAGTTTACTATCTTGACAAACAGAAGTCCTGTTTCTCTACTACCAGCACAATAACTTCAGACTAAACTGCAGCTCTGTCATAGATAATCAGGCTTATAAATTATGCGGCAAGGAACATCTACTCTAAAATTTAACACTGGCAGCTTCTCGCTCATATAAATAAGCAAATATGAAATCCAAAAAGGCTGTTATTTCACAGCATTTGTACCTTAATACACTGTAAACTATCAACTACTTACGTTCCTTCAAAAGACAAACACTTGAAGGAGTTTCATAAACGACTTAAAGGCCAGCCTGAAAATGAAAACTAGTAACAGAAACTGCACATTAATATCAGTGATCCAGTGCTAGTTCACCAATCACCTCTCCTTTAACCGCAACCTGCCTTCCACTCTAAAGAAGTGAACATGTCCTTTCATCTACACACGTTCTGAACACAAGACGTGAGCAGGACAGTGCTACAAGACAGATGCAGCAGGCATGGCACAGGGGAGCAATCTAGAAGCAGATCCAATCAAAAAAACCGCCGACCACAGTAAAAAAGAGTCGGCAGTAACCCCGAGCACAGAAGTCAAAACCTTTTCCGACAGAAAAGGTGTGAATGAGGCCGCTTTTGCAAGACGAGGCCAACATACCCTCCCTACCCGCCCGCCCCGTGCGGTTCACCCTCACAGACTCCTTCAAGCCTCCGCAGCCCCGCTGAGCTTCCGGCAACTGCTTATTCAGCGGCTCCACCGGGCCATCAAGCTCCACTTCCAGAACTGCACCTGGCACAAAACCTCCCACCAAGAAAAACCACAGCTGCCTCTGCCTCTACCTCCCACCCAACAACGACTCCACACGGAACAAAACCACTCCTCACCAACCCCCACAACACCCACACCCGACCTTCCACCTTACACACCGCCCACCAGCCCCGCCCAGCCGCTGCGCGTGCGTCCCAGCCCCGCCCACCCCGCGCCCCCCGCCCCGGCCCCCGTGGGCACGCATGCGTCTCGAGGTTGGCCCCCTTCACACGGCCGCGCACGCGTAGAGCCCCCCGCCGTCCTATTGGCCAGCCCCGCTGCGTGCTCAGGGGCGGTTCTTCTGACCCCTCAGCCGTCTGCGTCGCGCAGGCGTACTCGACACTGGCGGGCCCGGCTTCAGAGGAGCAGGCGCGTTGCCTACCCCGGCAAGCCGGCCGGCTGCTGCACAGGCGCAGTGCGGACCCTTTCGGGAACGTTCTGTCTCGCCACAACCTTCCTCTGCAAGGGAAATCCTGTCAGGGTACGGGCCACCCGCAGCCCCGGTCCTCCCCGCGCCGCCGGCGTCCGGGCCTTCCCCTGTTTCCGACTCCTGCTGTAGCCCGCGCCCCTCTCCGCACAGCCCATCCCTCTTCTACAGCCGGCCGCCCAGCCCCCGTAGTCGGGCCGCGACCTCCCTCCCCCCCCCAACCCCTTGCCCCCTTCTCTTTTTTCCTCCCCCGAGCTGAGCCGCTTCCCTCTAAAAAAGAAATGCCTGGAGCCGGTCTCGGAGGCCTGTCCTGCCCTGGGCTCCCCGCAATCTCGGGGGCATGTGGCGTTGAGGAGGGAGCCTTGCTCCATCCTCAAGCGTCTTCGCTGGAGCGGCGGACATGGGCCCTCCGCGCTGGGGGGCAGCTCTCCTCGCCCTTCTCTTCCCTGCCCTGGTCCCACTGAGATCGGCGGGCGGTGATGCTGGCCAGGATCTTGCGGGAGCGGACCCGTCTAGGTTATAGTGGGGCAGGTGATGGTCTTTCCCTTTCTGAGGTGCCGGCCTCGCCTCTTGCAGCTGCCTGGAGCTTCTCATTGAGACAAGAGTTCTAGCAGTGGGAGTGCAAGGGCAGAACAGACTGCTCCGAACCACAGGAGAGGGACGGAAGGGGCTGACAGGAAGATCTTCATCCCTGCAGCGCTGCTGCTAGAGTTAGAAATCTGCTGCCTCTCCTCTCGGTTTCGTTTGATCTCCTGGAGGGGAGAGGTGAGTTGTATTTCCCTCTTGTCGTGCTGTAGCAGTGGAGAAAATAGGCTAGCATGCAAGCTGCAGAACTTTTTCAGGATGGCTTCAAGCCCCAGCTGACTGCTTGGTTTATTTTACTTGAGACTCAGCCCTGTGAAAAGGCCCACTGATGGAGAAAGAGATTAGCACCGTGTTAACTGCGCGGTTCTCTCTCCTTTGCTGCAGTGCCCACTTTCACCGCTGTCTCCTGCTCTGCCTGCTCCTGCTTTCAGCATGGTAAAGAAGAATACTATCCCCGATGGGTAAGTATTCCTCATACTAAGCAAGAGGCAGGAGCGGGCACAGCCCTGCCCACAAAGAAGGGGCACTGACTGCCCCAGGCGCTTTCTTGTCACAAACATCTTCACCACCTAAAGCGAGGTAAGGTAGGTATTTTCTCCAAGACAGGAACAGCCCAGCCCTTCATCCCCCAGGTGAGTATAATGCTCTGACCTGCCTGTGAACACTTCGCCATCAGCCAAATACAGTCCAATCTTCCTAACCTTATCCTCAGGTACATACACTGGGGAAATGGGGAATAGTCTTATCTTTCTGACTATTCAGGTGTTTGCTACCAGGAGTGGAGGAAGAGCTGATAAGATGGGAGCAGGTGGTTGCATGCATGTGAACAAGGAGTATTTTTATGGATTCAGGTCCAGAAATATCCTTCGGTTTTGTTTTTAACAGTAGGACAACAAAAATGTTTAATTAAAATAATAACAAAAAGTAATTTAAAAGCCCCAAATGGCATTATACAAGCTTTCTGATGTCTTGATTGGGAGTGCATATGTGGATCACAAAACAGATCTATCAGTTCTCCAGCTCTACTGGGAAGAAGAAGACGGAAATCCAAGTTTAGAAGTTTAACCCATGTGTTAGTGCTGACATCAGTACAAACTTCTTCAATAGGAGAGTGTGCCGAGGTAAAAAAGCACACTGTAATGGGACAAGAACTTGCAGTTTTTATGTTACTTGAGGCAAGGTTGATGTTGTCCTGGTTTCAGGGGAACCTTCTGAGGAGGAGCAATAAAATACAAAAAGCATGGTTTCCTGCAAAATCTGTTAGCCTAAAAGCAATAAACAGAAACAAAAGTTGAAGAAATTTTCAAAATAACTTCATGAAATTTAGAAGTTTGTTTTCATAGCTGACAAACTCAGAGATTAAAATTAGAACAAAATTTAAGAAAAGCTATGTAAGTTTGTCTTTTCTCTGAAAGTTTCTATGAAATTTCAGTTGAAAGTTGGACAAACTTGAGCTAACCTGGGTTAGGTTTGCAAGCAGTAATGCAGAAAGCCTGAAAAGAACTAACTGTCCTCCTTGGTTTTGCCATACTGGGAGATTATTACTAAAACATAGAGAATCAAGTGTTCATTTCTCCCTTCTTTTTTCCCCTTGCATTTGAACTGGAGCTTTCAGGCTACATGCATTTCTCAAGTATGGAAGAAGCAGTGGACTGTACTTTGGCTTCTGTGATTGGAAACAGCTGTTTTTCTTTCAAGGGGAGAAGCATCTACCGTGGAATAATTGGTTGTCAAGTTTGTGCTACCATGTGACAGAATTCATGGTACTGAAGTGCTTTCAGCTTCTCCAGCAACTCACTGTTTGATAATATTAACAAATAAGGCTAGATATCTACAGTATCAGGGTTTTGGCAGTAAAGGGTTTTAAGGAATTGTCAGTCTCTGGATCTCATGCAGCAATATATCGATGTCATCCTTGTGCTAGCACAATATGTTACAGACTTTCACTGTGATTAGTTTAGTACACCAGGAAAAAGTAGCAGTGAATGCTGGAAGAGGGCTTAAGGAAAAATAATTTTAACCTAGGTGTCCTGCACATGCAGTTTACTGGCCCCAGAAATAGCTGTTGGCAGAACAGCTATTGAGATTGTGGTATGCTACTATAGCATAGGAACCAGTCTAGGTGGTAGCATACTATGGAAGTACAGCCTCGATCATATCACAGTACTGTAACAGCAAGAAATCTAACAGTAATAGTGTTTTTAATGATACTGCAAGAGAAACTTTGCAGTTGACAAACAAAAGGAAGCCACACTATGTACAGACTTTTTTGATTATCTGTTACTGCCTCAATTCTTTATACAGTTCTTAAAGAGTCTCAATCCAAATTCTGTTCCGCTAATTAAAGCAATAGAATAACTTTGAGGTTCATTTAAGTTATAAGCAGCTAGGACTAGTGCAACTGAACAAGAAATGTTGATTCTGTTTTCAACTGGTCAGCTAAATACTATCACCTTTTACAGTATTGTCCACAACGTACATAAGTTGCTTTTATGTAAGGGTTGTGCTATAGCATTGCACAACCTTGCTTGATATCAGCACTATTGGGTGTATTTAAAGTAGTATCAAAGTGATATTAATTGCCAATGATGTTACTGGGTGTGTTGGTCTTGTACCTTGTTCTTACTCCACTGTCACCTAACCCATGTTTGGGTTAGGTGAATGTTTGATCTGATGGTATTTGTACCATTTTTGCTCCAGCAGTGCGAGGAGGGGGTGCACTAGAAGCAAGATATATTCTTCCTGTATTCCTTCATAGCTAGAAGTGTTTCTTTTTTCTCAGTAATTCCAGCAGTGGGATCTTTTTATTATAAAGACAAAGCTGAATTATTTCTGCCTATGTACTATAAACATATTTGTTCAACTGTTTTTTTTCCTGTGCAGTCTTAAAAGCATCAGCATTTTCATTTAGACAGGATCATTAAATACTGCGGCAGAACTGATTGGGCATGTTCAAGGGTGGATGAGAGAGAAGGGGTACCATAAGGTGAGAGTTTATTTGTAAAGTAAAAGTGCCTCTTACCATCAGGCATAGAACATTTGCACTGGAAAGTATGGGATGGAGAGAAATTACTTCTTATAATACCCAGCTAATGGTAACATTACTGTAAGTGTGTAAGTGTTGAAGGCCCATATCTTTAGTACAAAACACCACCACAAACATAAAGCTATGCAATTACTTCCTGACACAGTAAGGAACCATTTCTCCCATGCTTTATATCCACACTGTTTTTTACAAGCTAGGACTTACTTGTATCCCACTTAAAGGGGATGAAGAAAAGCAAAGTGAGACATCTATGTAGTGACAGATGATTAAGAGCTATATTCCCTTCCTTCTGGTTTTGACCCGTTCAGTATGTGTTCTGTCTTGACAGCATGTCATGGTCTTTGCACATCTGTCTTCAACAGAGTAGTACCGACTGTCTGTCTAGAGAGTTACGGAAGCCGCTTGGAAAATAATATGGAAAAATACCATAATTACTCTGTATAGGTATTACATTACAAAGGTTTTTATTCCTTTTTTTAGCATATATTAATGTAAACATCAGTTTCATAAGCAGTCTGAAGTGGGTTTAGGCTTTAGAAAGACCAGTATTTGCCATAGAGAGTTTGTAGGATATCTCTTGACAGTTTGCCATGCTCTGTGTTTTTGTGTAACTCTGTGATTGAGATCTGACAAACTTAAGACATGAATCTTTCAAATTATTCCAATTCAGTGGTTCTGTTGTATGGTACTTATGAGTTATTTAGCAGCTCTATGTACATTAAAAATGTACATAATATCTTTATGTGAAGCATGCTATTTTTCTTCTAAAAAAATTGTGGAGTAAATAGTAAGGTATTTTGCAGTTCATTGATATGTAGGTTTGTATGTTTCAAAACTTACATAAATTTGCTATCACTTTTTCACTTGGGTTTTTTTTTGACAGCAACATGTATGCAAAATATAGCTATTATAGTGTTCTCTGCTTGGATTATTATCTTGGTGTTCAACATACCTTTGAACTTAACTAAAGAGGCTTCAGAATGAACACTGAATTTTGCCTTACTCAAATTT